TAGTTTCCATCTTTTAAGTTATTTCTAAGGTTTTGACATGTTCCTTATAAATAGTAGACTCTTCATTCAATTTTAAGTATTACAGTAATAGTATTATTTTCTTCATTGGTTGTTGAGTAAAATATTGTTCCCCTAACAATCGATTTCTTAACTTTAGACTTGTTTTCTATGTGCGATTATATACTTCATATTATGTCAAATAACCTCCTTTATCTCCAAAAAGTGGTACCAAAGCTGTTCTACTTTCAATAAAATAGTTCTAGATCTGACCCGAATTATAACAGACATTTTTTCTCGTGCAAAACACATTCAACATGTTCATCCTCAATCTTATATGCATGTTGGGAAATAGTATGTGAACTTTCAATATCAATATTTCAAAAATAATTTATTTTTTTATTTCCATATCCTTTGTTACTAAAATCAATTGTCTAGAGAAACTAACGATGAGGTTAGTCTGGTCAACAATATGAGGCGTATGCCACATACTGTGTTACATTAATTATTCCAAAAAATTATGATTGACTCCATCCAAAATAGAATAATGCTATCTAGATCCTATCAACTGAGTCATATTTACTTGTATTTAGGCTTTCTTAGTGTTACAGGAATAAAGGAGAAGAAAGCGCCCCTGAATGTATTATTTTATTCATTTTTTTTTGCGTAAGATTGTTGGAAGAGGAATCAGTAGGTGCATATGAACATCACAGCTAGGTCAACACCTTTAGAATCGTTATTATCTACCATCTCATATTTTAATAATATTACTAAAATTACAGAGTACATCAAATTGGAATCAAAGTAAAAGAATAATAGTAGCCACGTTATATATATTGGATGAAATAAATGCAGAAGTAAAATTTGGAGCCGTGCTTGTGAATCTGGAACTGTGTTTCCTCATGAGAGATAAGAGTAATAGCGTACAATGTCCATTTTGGAAGCACGACTGAAACATTTATCAAATATCAAATTCCACCACCAATAGACCTTTTGTGCAAGAACTTATGATAGCCACCAAATATATTGCATCACAAAGCCATCTTTGTTCAAGAAAGACATCTAATTTGTTCATAAAAACCTTGTCGATCTAGACAATAATGTCCACAATTATATCTCATAAGCATCATGTGAGCCAATCAACATCACTATTAGTTTGGACTCATGGGATCTATTTTAATGATTAATGAAAATAAACATGTTAAAGTTTCGTGACTATATATTGTTATACAACCTTTAACGCATGAACAGAAATCAGAACTTTACAAAAAAAAAAAAAAGAACACAACCTAGACAATTGCACCAAAGTTCCTAGCCACCAAGGTGTATCAATTGATTGTTCAAATAAAGCACACCAAGTGCTATAGTAATTCAAAAGACGAAGAGTAAAAGAGAGTCTCCTTTAATCTAGTCTTAAGCACTCAAAAAACTGAAAAAGAGTGTTATTGCGCTAAGGAAATTAAAAGCTCACCTTGCAGCTAGGGAAAAAAGATGAAGAAGAAGAAGGAAAAGAATCAGTAGAACAGAATGAGGGATTCAGGGCAAGATCTTTTCATCCCGACCATGGAAAATCATTCGGGAATTAAATCAAATAAGCCCTTTTAACTCAGTGGTAGAGTAACGCTATGGTAAGGCGTAAGTCATCGGTTCAAATGTCACTCCATCAATCCTAGGTTGAGGGCATTTAATATTTCTAAAAAGCAACAATCTTATAGCCTAGGTCTGACCTTTGAAAAGTAGCCACTCTATATATTGACAAGTTGATCGTGACTTATCTGCTGGAAAGCTATCTCATCAATTAATTAAAAGATCTTGTGATGAAGATCTATTGAAATACGTAAAGTGGGAGATGGCTTCTCTCATTAAAGGTTAATTGCCTCAAATTTACTCTATGACAGACTATAGCACTTCGTTTTAAGCAATGGAGGGTTGGTCTCTATATGTTACCTTGACTGAGGTGATGCATCACTTTGGCTATCTCAACTATGATTTCGAATAGGCATGTATGATAGTGTTGTGGAGTGTGAACCTTATTTTGTTTTCTAGTTGTTTACCACGTAGTGAGTAATTCCTTTATGAAATCTTATCAACCAATTTAATATTTCTTAGTGCTCAAAACGTGGATTAGCCATACTTGCTTAATGTGGTTCTTGCATGAGCCACATTTAGCTTAATATATATTAATGGAATGTTAGAAAGAATATAAAGCGTCAATCTTAATTGATAGTTCCAAATTTAGTTTTGATTTGGTTTAATATAAGGAGAGAACCTCTCACAACGAGGGGCATCGAGTATTATTTAGTATATTTGACATGGTACCAAAGCCATTCCGATCCTAAACAAATTTACTCTTGAATTTCGGCGAACAGTTTTGTGCTGCTGGCCTGGCCTAATTACTTTTTAATAAACACGATTCTTCTCACAACCCTCTTCTATCATTGGATATCCTATAACTCAAAGAATTCAAGCCCTCAATGTGTTATCGCTCCGCATCAACAGCACGTCCCTCAAATCCATAGCTGACCTGAACCCGTGTGTAATTAATTTTTCCTATGGGCCACACAGCGTCCCCGCGATGGACGCGCCTTGTTTTCTAGCTGGTTCATGGACTATGTTGAGTCAAGTAAAGTTTATGTTTTTCCGTTTTGGGGATATGCTATGGACTGCAGTTGATTGTGCAGAAAATGGGCGGTGAGGTGAGGATTAGTAAGAAGCAGGAGTATGGGAAGACAGAAATCGAAGCTGAAAAGCCTACTGTGGCCAATTCTGATCTCTCGGTGTTGTGTCTCCATGGTGGAGGTTTCCACTCTGGTCATCGTGAGGATGGTAACGAATATGGTGGAGGCCATGACCATGGATAAGATGGTGGTAACGACCTGGGATATTGTGGTGACCGTGATTACAATAGAGGCACATGATCAGTTGTAGTATGTGTACAACCCCAGTTGACAATTAGACATATGGGAGGGGAGCCCACACTAAATAAAAAAATTATGGGTCTCCCCACCTATGAGTACATTTCAAACCCATTTCTCGTCTCTCTCTAAACACACACAGTGAGAGCAGCCATCTTCTCTCCTACATTTGTTTTGTGCAATGCAACAGCGTCGGGCAGACCTGATATGAGCGGCGTTTCCAGATCGCCATGACGATTTGAGCCCCACAGCCATGGTGATGCCAATTTTGGGCGGCGTTGCTCGCGGCGTGAGCTCTGGTGCTGTAACGATGGTGATTTTTTTGGTGTGTGTAGCTGCTACTTTAAAGATTTTTTAGGTGGGGATGACACGATGAAGTTACTTGTACTCGATCGTTGCAGATGATGGCGCTATAATAGTTTTAGGTCTCGCCGCTGCAATGGTGATGCAATGCGACGACAACCGCTGCAATCACAACTTCA